TCATAGCCCACGCGCAATAATCGCTACTATATAAAATATTCATTTTCGCGGATTTTTAACAGTCATCGTGACTTTATGATATTTGAGTCGGAATGGGACAATCATTTTTTTTTGTAGTACTTGTGGGTTTTGGTTTCGTTGGAATCCCACGACGATTTTACAGCTAGTTCACTTGAGATCGATGAATCAAAATTGTTCATTATTGTCCGGTTTGAAAAGTTATGAAGTGAATAGAAATTTTTAAGTGGAATGACGAATTTTGAGAAAATATTTTGGTGGGATAAGAGTTTTTTCTGCTTTTATTTTTACTATGGATGATTTTGAAAAATGATTGAGTCATTTGGTTGAAATTTGAAACGGTCCATTAATAGATCAAGCGTTGATTAATTGCACTCTTGTTTTGTAATTAATTAGTTGAATAATCTATGTTACAAACAGTAAGTGTTAATTGAACAATCGAGTAATTAATTGAATGTTATTGTTATTTCTGCTCTTGGGTTATTTTATGTTGAAATTTAGGTTAATGCCAATTATTCATTAGTGAAATATTCACAAAAGACACATAAGTTTTTTATTTACAAATTTAACTAAATATTTCACTATTTTTATTCTTTGAATATTTTATGATAAAATTAAATATATACACATTAATTAGCATTTCCGTCTTACGACCCTAAAATAAATTTTTACTTAAAGTTCGCAATTTTTACAGACTTCATCGATTCTTCTCTACAAACAAGTGTCAATAAAAAAAATTATAATAATTATTGATGAGGCGATTAAAATTGATTTATACTAAAAATATATATACCATTCGACATTTATACATTTGTATACGTATATACAGTATACAAACTCATTCGAAAAGATCAGCTGCATTAGATCCGAACGGTAAACTGCACGAACAATAGAGACGATAAAAGACGTACGGACGAATAAGAGAAAGAGTAATAATAAAAAAAAACTAAACTACGGCAAATAACATACGGACTCTTTTCATCTTCTCAAATAAACTTCTTATATAACTCCTTTTTCATTTTTTTTTTTTTTTTTTTTTCAGAGTACATGTGTATGGCGAACGTATACTTCAAGTACCTCCTGCTTTTCATTTTCATCGTCTTCTACATTTTGATATATTTCTCATCGTTCTTCGTTCACATCACAAGTTTAAAGACTACGGACATATATATTGATATCATCAAGTACAGTAATTCGCAGCTCGTGTCTGCTCGCAGCTCATTGGCAAGAATAGATCTGAAAGTGATGCAAGCCGCTTATCAAACTTTTATGTAAGTCGTCTGAAAGTCAATGAAATATTTATGTTAAGTTGTATTATTTTTTATTTGATTATTATTATAATTATTATTATTACACCAAAAATTTTTTTTGACTCAACTTAACTTTACTTGATCATTTAAAAAATTTTCATTCATTCAAAACAATTAAATTCTCTAAAATCATTTTCTTAATTCGAAATTATTCTTCTCTTGTATCAAGATATGAACTTCTGTAATTTTTTATATAACTTAATTGTCCACATTAGGCCTGATAAAGTCATATTTTCCCATAAATAAATTCTTCAAAAAAGTTAGTTTCAAAAATTTCCGACAGGTGGCGCATGGTCAATAAATCTTCTCGCTACAAGAGAGTTAATTTTGAGGTATTTAACTCTAAAATAAAAATATTTTTTTTACACTCTTAAGGACCTTATCTGACATTAATTTTTGGCTTAATCAACTACTAAACCAATTTTTGTTATAAATTATAGTACATTATTTTCTTATCGATGAAAGAGAGGCAGTAAATTATCTAAAATGGATGAATGTCTTATTAATAATAAGTAAAAGTCAAAAATTATTTTGATTAATATCAATTAGTGGATGTTGAATGTGTAGAAGTTAGATAGATAAGTGACACACATCCATTCGAGATTGAGAAGTGAAAATATATGTATAATTCATAATACTATCGATATTGGTATCAGTATCGGTATCGGCATTAAAGGTATACATTAAATGTATATTATGGATTGAAGTGGGAGTAAATTGGCCGAGAATTTATGAATGGGCATACCACGGGGTTAAAGTGGCGTCACTTTGGTGCAGGTTTATGAAAGCAAGCCGGTTTTAGCTACGCTAATAGTATAGTAATACGGGCTGATCTTTTCGAAATCCTGTAAGAGCATTAACCGCTCGCACGTGAGCAAGTTAAATTGCTATGTTGTGGCTATATACACAAAACACTGAGTGTGTACACCGCTCTGCCACCAAAGAGTGTAGTGGCTATTCACTACACCTACTGGAAGTTCGGTAGAAATGCATTTTATGGGCCATGTGTGTATCTCGCGTCCACGGATGTGAGAGATCGCTGATATTTAAATCTACGATTAATTTCATTATTTTATTAAGTCCGAGCTTCGCCGTCTATTACATGCTGTATTTATTCCCGCCCTTGGGCTTTACTTTACCTTTCGCGTTGTTGTATTCTGCTGTGTTTATTTCGCGACTGTCTTTCGTGTCAATTTTCGGACTTTATTTACATTTTACCATAATAATCTTCATTAGTTATTATTTACTTTATTTTTCGATGGTAATTATAAATTACTATCGTAAATACAACTTTCTTATTGGTTTAATCATTTTGTTTTTTATTGTGGATGTAGAGGGGGTAAAAATATTTTTTTTTATAACCTTTGAAAGTAATTTTTCACGAAATAGAAAGAAAATTCTAACTTACAGGAATATAAAATACAAGGCAAAAAACTCTATTTTTTTTATTATATAAAAATTATCGCGAGTGGTTAGTTTATCGACCGATAGATATTAGAGAAAATAGCCCGAAGTTTTCAGTAGCGAAGCAATAGATCGAGTAATTAAGTATCTAATATTTCTATCAATTTATCTATTTGTATATTTCTTTAAATTTATTTCAATTTTAATTGAATTCATTCATATTTAAGTCCAAAAATCATAAAATTAGAATTTTTCATTTTTGGTAACAGAATAATTATTGGATGTATATTTTAAATTGTTCTCGAATGAAGAGATTAACATTTGACTATAATCTTCGCCTAAAGAAATTTATAGAAATTAAAATTTATATATTATTACTTGGAAGAAATTTTTATAATTTTGATAGATGTATTAGATAGTGAGTATATTTATTCTCAATAAAGAGGTCCTTATTATCAATAAATTACGGATTTTGCACCCTGTACCATAAAAAAAAATTTTCAATTTTTTTAGCGGGAAGTTAAAAATTTAATTAAATTAAATTAGGTAAAAAAATTCTTGAATTGATAAATTTCACACACTGATAAAAAATGTTAGCTTTATTAAAAAAAAAAAAATCTCGAACTAAGTACCTATACCATTTTGAAGAAAATGATTCTCTTTAGTCAAGAGAAAATATTCTTGAGACAAGAAAAATTTATTACCTAAATCAAGAAAAATTTCTTGATTCAAAAATTTTTCTTCTTGAAGCAAGAAACTCATTTTCTTCAAAATAGTATTCTTGGGTCAAGATTTTTTTTCTTAAGTCAAGTTATTTTTTTCATCAGTGCATGATTCAAAAATTCTTTGTCTTTATTTATATATAACAACAAACTATTTAAAATAATTTTTGGTTCAAAAATCTTTCTCTTAAATCAAGTAAAATTTCTGTTCATTACATACAACTAGACTAAAATTCCGAACAATAAAATAAGAGTTAATGAGTTTCCATTTCGAAAAACGGATCTGAAGTGCGAGTGCGGGCTTGCACTAGTACAACAAAATCCATCATCTGCATTTGTCATCTCATCTTTGTGCCTTGCTGTTGTACCTCTGTGCAGAGTACACATATTCATTGCATATAGATAATTCAGGCAGCGTTGCTACACACACTCACACACATACATGTCACCAAAGAAAGAAAACGACAAACATGATAGTTGATGGTATGCATATGTGTGCAATAAACTACTCTTCTCTTCCCATTCTCTATTCGTTCGTTATTATATTGCGTTTCTAAACTGCGCATGCGCGAAAGCTCGCGCAGCCATTGGGTCCCCACTCTTTTTTCACCGATCAATGGGAATGCCCGAGCTTCAGAGGCTCCGCCCACATCTAAACTCGCGGGTGTGTTGGTATTGCCGGGTGCCGCCGTTTGTTGCAGGAACGGCCGCCACGCAACCGTGAAGCCACCACTGGTTGCCCGTGACGTACAGCGGCTGACCGTATTCCCCGCGTTACACACTTCCAACAGCGTCCCGAATGTGCGTCGAGCGCGAGTGAGTGAGGACGCCGAATCCCGACCGCGGAACGCGAACCGGGATAAAGAACGACTGGTAAGGGTGATAGAAGTTCGACAAAGAGGCACCGTGAAAACCGATAGAGAGGGTGGAGTGATACTCGCGGGTAAAGAAGAGAAGAGAGGAAAGAGAGAGTAATAATCAAAGTTGTTGCGAAAAGTTCGGCTCGACTCTCCTACGCCTTCTTTATATAATAGACCAGAGCTACGATCCGGGTATATTCTTCTATATTCATCTTCTTCTTCTTCTTCTTCTTCTTCTTATTCATCCTCATCCTCGTGTTATTCTTGTTCTTATTATTCTTGTAGCACTCACACTTACAATTACACTTACGCCTGTTTATCATCGTCATTTAACTTGTACGCATTCATTGTCGGGATGAATTGTTAATTTATTACCAAATTCAGTTTGTGGATGCGGATTTATTCGTTTGTTAATGAATGTTACAGTGACAATAATTAGTAACACTGCAGCTTACAGGTTTTAGTGATTAATTAACTCAGTGATTTTGCTCCAGTGATTTTATTTGATGCATTGGTATTAATTAAACCTTTGATAAAGTTCGGGGATGCTTTTGCTACTGACATTTTGTGGATTTACGGTGGAGTGATTTGTATTTTATTTTATTTATATATTTATGGTAAACTTTCGGGGTGAATGTTCGCGATAGTTGCTCGCGTAGAGGGTGAATTTGGATTATTTTCCCAAGAAAGAAATCATTGTGTATCAAGAAAAATTTTTGGTGAGATTTTTTTTGTTTGCGTTATTTGGTGATGATTTTTTACATTTGTAGATATTTTGAATTTTGTGGATCACTTTTTAGAAAATATTGTCTTAATTCTTTTTGAAAAAATTATTGAGAATTTTTTTTTAGATTATTAATAAATTTATTTCAATTTGAAAATTTATTTTGGAGAAAATTACGGAAATTTACTGTGACAAAAAAAATGAAATTTTTTTTAGAATACAAATTTTTATTCTACAATTTTTTGGTATTTTCATGAATATTTTTTAATTTCTTTATCAAAATTCTGATTAAAATTTTTTTTCGAATTGCAAAACTATAAATTGTGAATTTTTTCAAACTAACTACAGAAATTTCCACATTAATGTGGAAATTTTTCTATAAAAGTTTAACATTTTCACTCATGAAAAAATTAATTTAATTCAAAAGTCAAAATTTTGAATGAAAAACAAAATGTTAAAAAGTTTGATTATTTTGAATCAAGCGAAAAAATTCTAGAACTACAAAATTTTTTTTAATTCACGTCAATTTTACAGGATTTAAGAATTTTTTAATTTGATTAAAAATTATGAATCTTCAAAATTTTATTTTGGTTCAAGATGTTCATTTTTGGATCAAATCAATTTTTTTATTAGTTTAAAATTTTCAAACTTTAATTATGTATCAAATTTTGACAAAAAAACTATTTAATTACGGGAAATTTTTATTATAAAAACACTAACAATTTATGAAACTAATCAGGTATTTTTGAATTTTATATGTATGAAAAAAAAAATTAATTGCAAAATTATAGTTAGAAAACTTTTTTTAAACTGTTATGTGCAATTGTTTTCGCTACAATTTATTTGTTAAAAAGAATGATCAAATATCTCTTAATTCCATTATAATTAACAATTATAATACAAGCTTTTCAAAAACATATAAAGCACACTATCCATCATTACCTTCCAAAAATGAAAATAAAATATAATACTGTAAACAAACCTCCACAAAATGTAATTAATACTATCGAATAAAAAATAAACAGAGATGAATTAATAAATTATTGAAATAATTGACGGATGTACAATCAAATATTCGCGGTGTAAATCACATAAAGCGGTTATCCAACAGTGAATATATCTGTCCTGGGAACGGAGACAAAGAGCTTTCAGTTTGTGGTTTATGACCAATGGCATTGGTACCAACCGCTATATCAATCGTATTCAATATTCAAGCTGTCATTAAACTTTATCGACATTATTTATTCGCATTTTTTTTCACCTTTTATTAAATTATCACATTTACAATACCATCAATCATCATGATAAATTTTAAATAAAAAGATTAAAAAAAAAAATCTCGACGACGATCAAAGTGCGAAAGGTTTACATTGTTGAAAGCAAAGCAGCAGTCCGAGGAGTCAAAGTACAAAGTGAGGTTGATGGCGATCAGCAGTTTGAAAACACACGGCCTCCAGCGAGTTGCTGGTGTATGTTTTAAGTTGATGAGTCGGAGTAACTGTTACGAGTGTGTTGTCTAGACTCTCGTCGGATGGAGTTTTAAGTCTATACTACTCCTATCCTATCTATACATTTACATTTACATTTACATATATGTGTTATATACCGGGGATGTGGATGTTTGGCTGAGTGTGACGAGACTCGGGCAGCAGGATTTTCATGGAAATAATCTGCTTACGATAATCTCGTTGGTATGGTAGTATGCTCTATCTAGCTTCGCTGCTTGCTCTCTGACGGCACACGCGAGATCCTCCTATGTCCTATGTCCTATGTTATGTGTTCTATTTCTTTCCTTCGTGTTGATAAGGTCTAGACCTAGCTTGACTTTCATTACTCTGCCCTTTTATTCTTCATTCACTTAGGACGTCACTCCAAACTTCACAATAAAAATTTATGGACACGTTTTCACTTTAATTATTTTTGATACAACTACTCATTGCTTGGCTAGACAAATTAGTGTTTTCAGACTGAAAAATTGACTATTTAGTCATTAACAAGCCTGAAAAATAAATTTACGTGTCAATAAAAAAAAATTTTAACCGAAAAATTCAAATTAAAACATAATGATTGAGTGATTAGGTATTTTTTTAGTTTATCATAACACAAATAAAATAATTTTTGAAAAATCTAACTGCAGAGATAATTAAATTTTTTTTTACCTAAAAAAAAATTAAAAGTTTATTTTTTAATGAAAGAAAATATTCGAAAGGAAAAGTTGATTTTTTGAATATTTTTTTATAAATTTTTTGTTTTTACATAAATAATATTAAAAATAGTTCAATTCATATGGAGACATTTTATTGATAACTGTTGATGAACATACAATTTTTTTTAACATTATAAGCTTCAAAACAGACTAAAAATTTATTTCTTATAAATTTCCATGATTAAAAAAAAATATTAACTCATCAAACTTTCAAGCCAAAAAAAAAAGATGATAGTCAAACTAATTTTTTAGTCTTAAAAAAAAAGTTTTTGAACCAAAAATTGTTCTATCATTAAAAAATTTCCATTAGTTATATTAAATTTTACTTAATTGAATTTTTGTTCAAAAAAATTAAAATTTTAATTATCTTCGACCAAAAATTAGTAAATAAATAAACAAAAAAAGTAAAAATGTGTAAGAGAAAAATCTTATGACGATAATACGTAATACCTTCGGAATTAAGGTCGCGGTTATTGTCATTTTCTAACGACGAGAGACGAGCTTCCATTTGCTCTCAAGAACGATCTTATCACGTGTGAATGCGCCTTCAAGAGAAAAAAGAGAGCAGAAAAGAAACTCTTGCTGCTCGAGCATCTAGCTGAGAGGAAGATACTTTTTGTGTACATACATATATAGTACACTACATGATGTACATCATATAATGACAGCGACACGACACGAAATCATACACACACACAAGCTAAAAACTAGAGGAAGATTATGAAGGGAGTCAACCAGAAACTGACATGCCCACCCAAACTCGGATATTTTTTTTCTCTGCACTCCTTCTTAAGAGAAAAATATATAAAATATAATATTTAAGTTCAAGCCCAGACTCATCGGAGTTGTCATCATCATCTTAAACTACGAACAAAACCTCGAGGGATCCTCGTCCCTAGTAAGAGGGTGGCCGGAAAAAAATCTTTTAAAAGGTCGGAAAAAAAAGTTTGGTGAAAGGTCACGAAATCGCGGGGAAGAAAAGTAATAGTAATGTAACAAATAACAAATAAAAAATAAAAACTAGTCGGAGTTATAACTACATACTATGCTCGATGGATGAATCTGTTGGGCTTTAGCTCTTCGAAATTTCCACGGGAATTAAGTTTTACGCTCAATGAGCCTGCAACAACGAGACGCAGGTTAAGTTGCATTGAATGAACCCAGGAGAGACTAGTAAAGTCTGCTGTCTTGTACCTTAAGCTCTGCTTTTGCTTTTATATAAATCTTTTTTGCCAGAATTTTATTCGATTCGATCATGAGGGTATCGGCTCGTGAATGTAACAAATAATTCTGATAGTTTAAATTTGGAGGAATTTTTAGTATAAATTTATTACTTTAATTTTATATAAGACGAATAATTTCCGGGATTAATTAGTAATTTCAATTTTCACAAATTCAACAGTGGAAAAATTTTTTATGCAACTATATTAAGCCATATATAGACATATTTAGCTTGAAATGTCCATAAATAATTTTTTGATCAAAAGTAGTGTTAAAATTATCCAACAGGTGGCGCATAATCGCTAAATCGTCTCAATATAAGAGAGTTAATTTTAAATCCTTAAGTATTGAAATAAAAAATTTTTTTTTTATTCTCCTCAGGGGCTTATCTGTTAATAATTTTTAGTTTCATCACTTACTAAGTCAATTTGTGTTTGCTGACATCTTAAACATTCCAAAATGGCTTTTTTGGTTTAAGAGTTTCTTTTGAGAACCCAGCAATTTTTTTTTTCTAGTGCTCAAAGATCATTTTGAAGAATTTCAATTTTGAATAAAAGAAAAAAAAATTTTAAACCATTCGAAATTTAAATAAAGAAAAATTCATTGCTTAAAATTTTTTCACTTAAATCAAGTTAATTTTTATCAGTGTAAGATTGAAGTTAATTTAAAAAATAAACGGATTTTAATAATGAAAAACTTGAGCTGATCGAGGTATCAAATGATGAGAAAAAACTTTAGTAGATAATTAAATAATTAATTTAAGTATTAAAAAATTAATAACTAAAAACTATGCAGCACTAGCAGCTATATAATAAAAAGTAAAAGTTTATAACTTATAACTTATAAATTACATTATTATATTATATTATATTATAAGGATAAGAGGATTGTCGTTAACTTTTCAGCGACATGAATAAAAGTGTCTGTGTCTCGATTGTGGAGTAAGTGACCAAACGACCGAAGATTGAGGAGAGAAACAAAGAGAAAAGAAGGAAAAGAAAGAGAGAAAAGCGGTGAATAGATCGAGCTTTATAATAGAACAGTCTATAACAGTCTATCGAATATGTACCATATAAACGAAAAGCTAGGACACTAATGTCGCGCCGCATTGTTTCCACGAGTGTTTGCACACAAGAGTATTGTTCGACAAGAGCCTGAGGTACTTGTAGGGTTGTACGATGGCCCTATTGGATCTTGCGGTCTCTCAAGGCGAGGGTGGACAAGAACTACCTAAACCTTCAATAACTTTTTTTTATTTTTCATTTAATAATCCCAGTTCAAATTATTTGAAATGACATTTTTGATTCAATATTTTTTTTTTTGAGTCAATATAAGTTCAATTTTTTTTATGGATGAAAATATTGACAATCTGGCCATATGCCATTTTTTTTTATTTTTTCTAGAAGTCAGTACGTCAATTAACTGTCTTATTAAACAAAAATTGGTTTAGTAGTTGATTAAACTAAAATATAAATATCAGATACTTAAGCTTATTAGAAAAATTACAAAAATGATTTTTATTTTTTAATTAAATACTTCAAAAGTTAACTCTCTTGTAAGGAGAAAATTTAGCTACTTTGCGCCATCTGTTGGATATTTTAAGTACTATTTTTGATAAAAAAAATTATGCGCATGTTTCTATCAGGCATGATATGGGTATGTCAAGCCATATCAAGACATATTGTGCAATTTAAAGCCAGACATGGTTAATTTTCGTGATAAGACCACATCAGAAATTTTTATTTATGGGGTTAGAAAATTTTTAATACAACAGAAAAGTTCTTGATGTAGGAAATTTTTGTTGAATTAAATTAATTCAAGAATTTTTTATCTTGATTCAAGAGAATGAAGCTCTTGAAAATGATATTTTTTGTTCAAAAATTTTCCCCGTAGGTCAAGTTAATTTTTGTTTTGAATTTCTATCATACAAACATATTTTATTAATAATAATAAGACTTAAGGCAGTCTAATATGATAAAATAAGTATTTTCTATAAAGTAATTCACGAGCTAAATCCCCTCTATCCGGGATATCTTTCAAGTAGACCGTAACATTATCGATAAAGTCACCGACTCGACAAATCGAATTCGTCATGTTGGACTGTTCACCCATTACAACACACAAGCACAAGATATCTCGAACTCCTCGAGACTGTATGTCGACCTGGACCCCAAGGGACATTTTCAGCCCTTCACTGAAGTGAATCCAGTCGCCAATATATATACACTGCTGTAAGCCCCAGCAGCACATTAGTCTACCCAGGTTGTCTATCTCTCTGGTACCCGATACAACTAATAATAGGGATTTGACAGTCATTAGAACTGCCAGTGGTCGATATATTGGTAACACAAAGTGTTTGCAGAAAGGCGACACTGCAATTGATTCTTTCCTTGTTATTTTCCTTCAACCATTCATCGCCCACTAAATCAGTCTTTGTGACTATCCATGCATGCGTTATACACTTTCCACCCCTTAATTGTTCTTATACTCGATCCTAGATTGCCTTGATACACCTTCAGGCTCTAAAGGATTGTCCGAGTGCAAAATATTGAAGACTTTTCGCCATAAAATGAACGCTCATGTGTAATAAAAATAATAATGATAACAATACATCATATGAAGCGGGAGTGAAGAAAAGTACTTGTAAATTAAGCGAAGCGCGAGAAGCGCCTTCTTCACTTTTCAATATATTACAAATGAACATACAAATCCGCAAGTGGATGAATGTGAGGGCGAAACAATGCTTTATTACTTCACTTTTATGTTTTTTGTGAGTAATGTGTTTTTATCAAAGAATTTATTGAAATATTTAAAGCTTTGATGGTATATTAATATAGAAGACAAAAAAAATTATGATACTGAAATTGAGAGACATCTGATAATTTTTTTTAATAAATAAATTATAGTAAGAAAAATATAAAAATTAATTTAGCAGATATTTCATCATTTTAGTAATTTTCTTTAACAAATCAATTTTGTCAGAAAAAATGAGAAAAAAATTGACGTTTAGAAAATTGAATAAATAAAAAATGTAATTTTTCGGAGCAAATTTATTTATTAAAAAATGGACAAGCGACTCCTAACTTTAATATCGTAAGAAAAATTTATTTTAAAAATTACATTTAAAGAAGTATTAAAAAATTATAAATGCAATTTTTTAAAAATAAATTTTTAGACCTAGTTTATTTTTAAAGAAAAATAAAAAAATTGTCTATTGACACTACGGCTGTCCAATTTTAAAACACAATAACTGCAAAATTTTATACTTGATTTTTTTTAGTACTGCTGCATTTCTTATAACTTTTAGACCTTAATTTCAAGTATTTTTTCTTAAAAATGTTTATATTCAAATATTTTATATTTATAAATCAAATGTTTTATTAATTTGACGCGCAAATTCTTAATAAGAAAAATTTCAAAAAATCTTAAAATTATCAGTTACTGTGTTTTGAAATTCGGCAGCCGACTAGTGTTTGCTAACTTGTGTCATGAAAATTTACTGAAAATGAGAACAAAATTATTTTGAAAATTTCACTCTTGTTTTGGAGTATTTAGTCCATATTGATTCAAAAAATTCAATTGTGAATTATTAAAGTCGATAATTATACTGAGTTTTAATAGTTCGAAATTTTAATGTAAAAATAACAGATTAATAATTGGATTCAATTTTTCGATGGATAGTAATTTAATAAGTAATTTTTTCATTAAATTTTTCTATTTTAATTTAATTAATCATTTTGCCATTAGTTTAATTTAAAGAAGCTTGAAACTTTAGAACTAGATCAAAATGTTTATTTTGATAAATAAAAAATCATATTATAAATACCCAAAAAAAATTGTCATCTACCCAGCTATTTTCAAAATCAAAGGACAATTTTTCTCTGCAATAAATAAGCCAAAAAAAGGTTTTCGTGTAGATATAAATAACAGAGATAAAAAAATAAGATGATATAAAAAATATATATCCAACATGTATACGTCTGGAGAAGGAACATAGAAACGTCGTTGGCAGCTGCGTCGACCGCTTGCGGATAATCCGTAGATGCAACACGACTCTTGGTCGCTTTAGCTTTTCAACTCAACGTATATATTTCGTTCACATCTATATATCTCGACAAATATACCCGTATCCTTACATCCTACATCCTCCATACATACTTATATATTTTATATTTTATGTTTATATATAGATAATAATAATAAAACACAAGGCAGTTTGGGCTGACCGAAAAGCGCGGGAGAACTCGAGCCCGAAAAGATATATATAACAAATATGAAACGGCGGATTCGGGCCTTGTCCAAAAAGACTGAAGAGCAAGACCAAAATATGAGAAGTAAAAAGTTTCTCTGGTTTAAAGGCTTATCCTCTCGGGTTACATTAACCCGGTCCTTTTCCCACCTTTGTTTCGTCGCTAATTTATAATTTATAATTTATAATATCTGGTATAAAATACATAAGATCCTCCCTCGAGTAGATTTTTATATTTAATAATATATAGTATCAGTTAGCTATAAACTAATATATATACTGAAAATAACTGGGGCACTTGGCAGCTGGCTCATTCCTCATTCCTCAGGCCTCATTGTTCTACGCACATGTTTTGGATTACCGACTTAACATTTTTAAAATATTTAATATCCAATATTTAATCGCGGGTTAATTAACGTCTGGCGTGTCAACAATCATAAATACTTGTACGTACACGACACCCGATTTTTATAAATTATCAATTGTAATTATAAATTGAAATTGTTATTTATTCGCTTTGTAGTCTTGACATTTTGACTTGTGATTATATCCACTGCATCATCACTCTACACTTGTCGGATAAATCCTTCATCGAATATCAACACATATATGTATTTTAATAATCATTTTAATCGCTTGTTTGATACAAATAAAAAAAATAATAATAAAACACGGAGAAAATTAAATGTTAATAATTATTATCGTTTTTTTTATGATAGTTACGATCTTGGAATGTTATTAAGTTAAATTATGTTATGGTTAGTGTCATAATTATAGCTGACAATATTTATAACATTAATTTTTTTCCGTGTAGAGTAACATACATTTTTTTTTTTAAGAGGACAAAAAGTTGAACAAATTAAAATAAATTTTATATTTGATAATAATCTATATTATGAAGAGAATAAAAAAAATTTTTAAAAACGTCAATATTTAAGAAAGTACAATGCAATTTAACAAATATCTTGTCAACTATTGACATTTTTAAAGATATAAGATCATCCCGACATTAAACTCATCGAGACCTTTCATTTGAGTACCCACATCAATTTTTCATATATTTATATGTATTATATATATGTATTTATGAAAAATATATGAAAATGCATGTGGGTACTCAAATGAAAGCTCTTGATGAGTGTAACATCGGGATGAGCTTACATCTTTAAGAACATCAACAGTTAAGAAAAGTACAGTGCAATTTAACATAATTAAAAAATGACCTTGTATCTTGTGAACTAATGACATTTTTAAAAATATAAGCTTATCCTGACATTACATTCATCAATACCTTTCATTGGAGTACCCACATCAATTTTTTCATATATTCATGTATATTATATATGTATATATGAAAAATATATCAAAAATGCATGTGGGTATCCAAATGAAAGCTCTTGATGAGTGTAACATCGGGGTGAGCTTATATCTTTAAAAAAGTTAATATTTAAGAGAGTAGAGTGCAATTTAACAAAACTCATAAAAAATATTTTTTTCAGAGCGACGTCTCGGGACGCGATCGCGAAGTACGCCTCTCTAGGGAGGCGAGAGCTTCACGGGCTTGGTGGGCAGCGATGTGGCCCAACAGCCTCGGTGGAGCTTCCGGCTGTGGAGGGGGAGCTGGGGCCACGGACCTCGGTAGCCTCACGGGCTCAACCACCTCCGCGAGCGACTTATTTGGGCCCGCGGGGTTCGGTGCTTCTGCGGCAGGGCCCTACGGTGCGCTCAAGTCTTCACCCTACGTAGGCGCCCTCGGTATGCCACCAATAGAAGCTCTCCACGGGACCATCGGTTACCCCGGTTGCACTCCTGCCGGTGAGTCCTATTACTGTGAGTGACCTTTTTTAATATTATTATATATTTTATTTAAATAAAAAAATTTAATGAATATATAACAAATGATTTATGATTTATGATTTATGATTAATTAACCATGAATTTGACTGCAGGTAATCCGAGGAAACAAAGAAGAGAAAGGACGACATTCAGTCGAGCGCAATTGGACATTTTAGAGGGTCTTTTTTCTAAAACAAGATACCCGGATATTTTTATGCGTGAGGAAGTTGCGTTGAAGATTAATTTACCCGAGTCAAGGGTTCAGGTAATAATAATAAATCTCAATGTAATTACCATTATGTAATAGAATATTTAATATTTTATTTTAAATTTAATACTTTACGTTAGTAGGTAATAAATATTTATTACACTTTACATTTATTCATGAGTGTATATAAGAGTTATCTTTAGAAAAAAATTTTTTATTGAATCATTATAATCAACATATAGCTAAGATTAAGGATTTATTAGAAAAATGCATTGAAAAAAATTAATCAGTCATTGGACGCTACTGACTGGCAATTGGTAGCTGCTATTAATTATTTTTCAGTACACTAAAAAAAAATTAATTTAAGAGAAAAATTTTTGAATCTATTAAAATTTATTATTTGAATTAAAAAAAATTTAGAATATTTTTTTTCAAGTCAATTCTATAAAATTAATTTTTTACTATTTTTTCATAAATTTTTTATCCTATGATAAAAAAAATTAAATTAATATTCAAATGAAAAATTTTGAACCAAGAAAATTACGCTGATAAAAAATTAATTTGAGATTTCAGATAAAAATTTTTAATTTAAAAATATGATTTTAAAGAGTTTGATCTTATATAAAGAGAAATAATTCTTGAATCATGCATCACAGTAAAAAATTTTTCATTGTGTAAAGTGTAAAAATTTTTGTATAGAATTATTACACTCTAGTATGTTGATTTAACACACTAAAACGTTAAATTAACATTTGTTTGTGTCAGTAATAGAAATATTTGTGTTAAATTTGACGGAAATTTTTTTACTGTGTGTAAAATTTACTTAAGTCAAGAATAATATCTTGATTAAAATTTTTTTTAATCTCAATTCAAATTTTTTTATCAATGAATTTTGAGTTGATTTCTTAAATATTGAGAAAATTATAAATTATAATTTGCAAAAATTTTTTTTTATGATTATATTAAGGTAAAAGACCCAGTTATTGACACTTGCAGTTTTATTTTAATTAAATAAAACAAATCGGCTCTAATAAATTAATAAATATAAATTTTGAATTATAAATTTTAAGACAGTTAATTTTTTCCGAAAAATTTATTTTTTAATTAGAATAAAATTGCGTCAATTAACTAGGCCAGTGTCAATAACTGGGTCTTTTACCTTATTAATAATTATTAATTAAATGAAATTTGAAAAATTTTTTACTAAATAATAATAATATATTTGTATACCCTAGTTATCATTACATATAGATAGAGTCAATTAAAATCAGTGAGATAGAAAATAAGTAGTTATTCATGATAGAATTGAGAGTGTAAAGTAGCGAGAGATTTCCATTGTCTCGGATTACGGTTGTAATGGGAGCCGAAGCGAATATCGAGGGAGGATATACAGTTCTATATATGTATACATATAGATAAAATAGCGGCAGCACCAGTGCCAACAGAATTCTATTATACAATATAGATAAAGAAAGAGCGAATTGCGATGCCGATAGCGACGGATGTGGACGGGTATGTTGTTGTATGTTAGGGCTCTTGAGGGCGCCGGATGACCGTCGGCACGCGTTTCTATAATGCTGAACAGTACGTAACTAGAGACATCGATCGTTTGCTCAGTACGACCGCGACTTAATTCAATTAGACGCCCGTCGTGTCCTCGCACCGTACACGTGCTCATATCACGTGCGACACTAAATTCCAGCCTCAATAATTTATATTGAAAAAAAATAGCTCTATTTTTTGTACCAGTTTGTTCGGAAGTTGTTTTGAAAATTGGAAAAATGTCCTGATGCTTCAAAGTTCAATCCCTCCAACTTCAATTCAATTATTCAATTATAGATAGTCTGTTTGTTTTTAGTTTTATGTTACATTTCTTATTTTTATCATTATCACCTACATTCTACATTCTAACAATGTTAACTCGCATGTTTAACAATTGGAACTCATACAAAATAAATCAATCAATCGATATATGTTACAGTAAACACATTTTATTTTATAATAGCATTTTTTGAATAAGTAATCAAAATTCTATTAAAAAGTCAGGAAATTTTCAATTGTATAAATTTTTGAAACTTAACATTGAAATGTAGAGTCCTTTTTAAAATTCTAACATTTTAACTGAAAAAAAAAAATTGATTTGATCTAAGAGTGAAAATTTTGAATCAAGAAAATCATTTTAAAAATTTTTATTCAAGCAGAAAAATTCTTTAACTAAAAAAAAATTTTTTGGGTTTGAATAAATTTTAATAAAAGTAACGTAAATAAGTAATAATTCTTTAAATTTAAAAATCTTGAATCGAAAAGATAATTTTAAAAAATTTGATGTTTTTTAATCAATTAGAAAATTAAACTAAAAAAAAAAATTTTAACCAAAAATATTTTTAACGATTTTCATGATAAAATTATTATTTACCATATTAAAAAATATATATATATATATAAAATTTATACTTTTGATCTCAGACTTAAAAAATAAAGTAATATTTTGGAGTAAAAATTTTTATTTTAAATATTTTAAACTATAAAAAATCGATTTTTTGGAACCTTACTTATTTAAAAATTTCAGATAAAAGAAAAAAACAAGCAAATCAATCATTGACATTTTATTATTTCCCGGAAAAATAAAAAAAAAAAACAAATTTCACAATATTCAGAGATTGAACCTGCATTTTCTGAAAATATAAAAAAATACGTAATGTAGACCGTAAAAAAATGTAAACGAGTATGTAAATGGGGAAAAGCAAAGTAAATATATTCTGACCTTTGTAAGAATTCAGTGACTTGTCGGTTTGTTAACGAGCGAGGACCGACGACCTAGAGGTAGCTGTGTGATGGTAATAGCGCCCAAAAGGTATTCGAGTTAAAGAATAAAAAATAAAAAATAAAAATAAAGATGAGGTAGGGCATGATGATGAGTGACTCCCTAATGGGTATCCCGGTAGCCGACGTGTCGCCGCATATTCCGCCCTGATCATCGGATTTCCCCCCGATACCGGCAATTACCGTTGGACACCTGGGATGAAAATAAATTACAGCGACCTGGTCTTTATCTCCAGCACGTACGAGTGACGCGAGGTTATTTCAGCTTCGCTCTCAATACCGGTAGCCGCTGGCGAATGGATATACGCATTTTGCTTTGTTTAATTTATGTCGTGTTCTGTTATCCTGTCTGTCATCTGTTGTTCTATTGTTGCTTTAGATTTTTTCGAGGCTATTTTAATGATCGCTGGAGGTGAAGGTGGAGGTGGAGAAGAAGTCGAAGAGTGTTACTTTAACTTGCACGATGTATGACAACTTCACGGGTTACTCGACACTCGTGAATTCTCTTCCCTGTGCTATGAAATCCCGAGCAGAGAAACCCAAGCTCGCCAGTAGTCTAACATTGATCGCACGGGGCTTCCCAGCGGCTCCCATTTACATTTTCGTTCTCAACTTTTAGTTATTATTTTTTTTTTTTATTTAACTATTTTTTTGAGCTTCTAATTACACCGAAAAGGTTCAATTGAGCCAAGAAAATATTTTTCTTCCTAATTATTCTATTCAATTGAAGAAAAAAAAATTTTTCACAAAGATTTTCTTGGTTCAAGATTTATTTTCTTAAATACAAAGCTTATATTTAAAATAATCAATTATTGATGTAATTTTAAATGAAAAATTCCATCCTGACAGACCAAACTAGTGATTGACTACTCGAATACTCTCTAAATAAAATAAAATTCACTGACGAAAAACAAATTGCTGAAAATTTACTGTCAGTGATGAAATTTTCCATCGAGTAATGTAATAACTCGTCAACTCCAAGCCAGGATGATTGGAGCAATTATTTTAGTTTCCTAATTCCATTCCTCAATAATTGGAGATTGGACTGTTTAATTTCCAGGTATGGTTCAAAAATCGGCGAGCAAAATGCAGGCAGCAGCAGAAACAGCAGCAACAACAGCAAGAGAAAGCGCCGAGGTCAAAAAAACCCTCGGGAAATCCCGTAAACAATCCGCCGGCTGGGAAAAGTCCTTCGATAGCCACCACCCCAACGCCTGCGGCTGCTGTTCCAGCTTCGACACCATTGTAAGTTTTTTTAATTTTGATAAAAAAAATATAAATGCATACAAAGAATAGAATTTATTAAAAATACATTGCAAAAAAATAATTAACTTATAATTTAAGTGATTAGTCAGACTTACTCATCAAACATCTTGATTTCTTCTTAATAGTCAGACAAAATTATTTACGCGCATATCGAGCTTTTAATTTAAATGTTTCTATACTTAAGTAAGGGGGTAGATAAGAAAAGAAGAAAAGAGTTTAAGAATATAATTTAGACAGTAAAATAGCAATGAAAATTCGTCCAGGATATTGGGTTGTATACACAAGCTTTGTCTGAGATAATCTCTACTTAGAATTGACTACCTGTTAGAGTCATGCAATTACTGCTGAGTAAATCTTATTTTAACTCGACGCTAATACGATCTGTTTGTCTAAACTGTATCAAGTTAACTGCTTAAATCAAAGTTGGATCATTTACAAGGCGAACTAAACAATTGTCTACACTTTGATGCTTTTCCTCAACAATTTATACTAACAATTGTTGTTATTTATTATTATTAAATTTTGTAACTAAATTTGATCAATAATTACAGTATTAACATTCTAAATTAAATTATTTTTGCAGAAGTGGAGGAACAGGAGGCTCTGCTGCGAGTTCTCCAGCTCTTTTACGAGATTCACCGCAATATAAGCCGGCAGGTAGCACCACCGGCTTGCTGTTCGCTGCGAGCACAACTCCGCCGAGTGTAAGTTTGTCGATAAGATAACTCAATTTATTACCGACTGTTAAGGGTTCATTTTTTATGAAATAAAATAGTTTCCTGCAGACCCTACAACTAACAAAAATAATTTTACAGAAAAATAAGCAGGCAGATTTCTATCTGTTCTATTTTTTAAAAGTTAATTAACAAACTAAAAAAATAAATTAAAGCACGAGTCTAATTAAAGTTAGAAGTACTAGTATATGATTAATAAATATTTATTCGGGATCTAAGAAAAAATTGATTTACTTTATAATCTTTTAACTTTTTTTATTTTTATTAAAAATTAGATAAAATGTAAAAAGTTACTTTCAATTTTTTTTTTTAATTAAAATAATATTAAAATTTTATAAATCTTGAACGGCATTAATTATCTGATAGTTTAGCGACCTCTCTTCTAAAAAATAATTAAAAAAAGGAATTATTATATTATTATATTATTAACAATTATGACACCCTCATGACACATAAAACCCGTATCAAATACCAAATATCAAATCACGGTCATGAATAATCCCGGGTAGAGTCTATTGAAAGCTAAACAATGCGGTAACACAATACGATGTACAATAAACGGACCAAAGATAACAATAACCCACCCCTACCATCTACTACCTACCCCCACATGTAAAATGTAAAAAATAATGAAAAAGACACGCGTATAACACGTGTTATATAAATTAACATCCACAGTTGGGCGGGACGGTGTACAGCAGCGGAGGAAGCAGCAGCAGTATCTGGAGTCCAGCGATCACGGAAAGCGGCGGATTCCCCGGGGACCATCAGAGACTTGCCTGGACCACAACTGCCTCCCAGCAACCTTGCTATCAAAATTATTCCTCCTATTACTCAAATATGGACTACCTTTCGCCTGCTCCTCATCAACTTAATGTCGTTGTAAGTTTTTTATTAAATTAAAAAAAAATTTTTTTATTTTTATTAAAAACATTTTTTCCATTTTTGTTAAAAAAAAAATTTTTCTGACAATATTTTTTTTCCAGGACACTGGTGCTGGAAATTTAGACAACACGTGGAGCAAAACAAGAGACGAGACCGCTTCCTCATGGTTCTATAACAGCGCTGGTTGGGGCGAAAGGAAGTGAATTCCCTAAATTTGTTTATATTTAACAAAAAAAAAAATTACGGCAATTGTCGTACATATCAATAAAATTGTTCATGAAAATTTTCCTCCTAAGACTAGTCAGCGACGTCGAAATAATTGCGACGTTCAAATGCCCGAGGTGTGCAATTTTGGACGAACACTCGCAAGTTTGTTTCCTGTTTTTTATAAAATAAATATGACAATCTGAAATGAGAAATATTGTCGGATCGCTCTGAAGACACTGTGTAAAATATTTCTATACATATATATATATATATAAATACATATATATTTGATGTAGCTTCGGGCAATAATGTTTACGATGTAGCATATCGTCGAATTGGTCGCAGCAAGTCACACCGGAAGGAATACTTTGCCTATTCCTGGGAGTTTCTCGCAGCCTCATCGTGTGATATATCTGTGAAATATATACATACTTACATACATACATACATATATGCACATGTGTCCTGCAAGTGGTAGTATATACATATCATTGACAATAGCAGTGACAATTTACGGTCGACGGTGGGCATGTGATTGCAACATCTAGTGGTCTCAGCTTCAGGCAATTCGGATCCACTTGTCCGAGTCTAAATTGCAATGGAAAATATTATAGTTATTATTTTTGGATCTTTGTATAAAAATCGAATTAATTTTTTGGGCTTTTTTTTTTTAAAGAGTAAAAACCAAATTTTGGAAATATTTTATTGAAAAATTGTTATTTTTTATTCTGTACATATTGGGATAGAAATTTTATTAATTATGGTTTAAGTAAATTTTGAAAAAATCGAAATAATGATTTTATAAATTTTCTGCGAATAATAAAACCTGATAAGAAAATTAAATTGAAAAAATCTTGAGTCCGGTAAATTATTTTAAAGAATTTTTCTGTTTTAAATCAAATAGAAAAATTTTTGAAAAAAAAAAAATAAATTAATTCAGAAAAAAATTTTTAAATTAAAAAATTTTTCTTAAAGCAGTTAAATTTTTTTTTATCAATAAAATTTGACAAAAAAGTACTTGAATTTTAATTAACATGAAAACTTGTTGATTACATTGAATATTCATTATTTTATCAAGAATATTTCTTAGCCAGGTCTTATTCGCTAGTATTTTACATGAAAAATTTTAATTCTTGCGAATAAAATTTTATTTTTTTTTAAATTAATTTATACGGCTAGTTTTAAAATTTATATAATTTTTTCCCCATCAATTAATTAATAATATTAATTACTCAAATACAAAGTACCAAATTACTTTATAAAATAAATTTTTAATAAAATTATGTACAGAATTTAAAAATAAGATTAATTTTTATAAAATATTCAAAATTTGGTTTTAGAAAAAAAATTAAACCAATTTTGATTTTTAGGAAAAAACATATCTGATTATTTTAAATTGTATGAAAGTAACAAATGTCTGGTTTATTGATAATAACAATAGTAACTTGAAATAATTATGATTAAAAAATTTTTTTTTGTAGGCTTAAAAATTATTTTGTGAAGAAGAAGAAGAAAAAGAAAGAAAAAGAAGGAGGTTGAAATAAAAAATATTATTTCGATTAAAATTTGACGTACTCAATGGGTTAATCGTTAAATATTTATTCGGAGTTGTCAAGTGTATAAAGACGGCGGGTTTTGAATGAAGTTATGAATATTCAAAAGAAAAGTTTGCCCCGGGAAACTTTCGACACGGTTTGCAATTCTGAAAATAATAAAAGGGAAAAAAAGTAAATGTTTAAAAAAAAAAAAAAGAGACTAATATGTATGTAAAATGAAAAGTTATAAATTAAAATAATGAATGTATAAATAAAATTAAATGAATAAATAATTATTTGAATATTATACATAAATATAAAGAATTATAAATATAATTATATTAATAAATCTGTAAGTACGTGACTGTTTAGATTGTTGCTATAAATAATTATTACTGGTAATAATAATGATAATGATAATCAATATTCGAATGAACTAAATAAAAATTAAAGTATAAATATAAATAAAAATAAAACAACGACGCTAATCTGTCATTAAAATATGTATGGATTAATATATCATATAAATTGTAATTTCAAAAGATAATTATTATTTTAAATCCTTTTAATGTTTGTTTTTATTATTTATCCAAATTTTTGAATATTTAAAAAAAAATCCATCAATTTTTTTTCGCTGAATAAATTTTTAATCTAGAAATTGAAAAAAAAAAATTTATAAAGGGTAATTGTTTAGATTTGAAGCTCCTTTTTTGCTCCAAAAAATCTTCAACTTTTTTTTTAATTTAAAAAAAAATTAATACTTGTATTTTTCATAGAATTTTTTTAGACATATATTTATTAACGAAGAAAATCAAATGAATATAATTTTTTTTAAATAATTTATATTTTTTTTTTTAATTTTTTATCCCAATTTTCCAAAATTTTAATAACGCAATTTTTAAAATTATAAAAATTGACGAATAATTTTTTTCTAAAATTATAATAAAATTTCTAGCTAACTATTCAAGTCAATTATTCTCAAATAAATTTTTCTATATTTTTAAAATTAAATCAATATATTTAAAATAAAGAAATATTATTCAAATTCTAGATTATAAATTTTTTTATATTTTTAAAATTAAATCAATATCCCAAGCGGCACAAAAATTTTTTTGGTAATATTTTGTTGAATTTAAATTGACAATTATTAATTTTTAACTTCTTGTTAAATAAAATTTACCAAAAAATCAGTAGTTTTTTATGTGACGCTTGGGATACTTAAACTAATAAAATATTATTCAAATTCTAGATTATAAATTTTCTACCACCCTTTAACTCAAATAACTCTTTAATACACATATAATGGTCATCAACTACCACCCCGACGCTACTATCCATAAATAATTACCCTCGATAATAAATAATTTTCCGGCAGTTATATTGCCTGAGGTCGATAACAGCACCGGGAGTTCGGTGTTCGCTGTCAGGTTTCCCCCTCTCGCGGCGGGTTCTCAAAAGAGGCAACCCTTCAGTTAGTAACCGACCCAATACCATCTCCAAGCCCAGACTCCACACAGATCCAAAAACACACACAAACTCTGAATAAAATCCAAAATCCAGAGCGAAACTAGTTCTAGCTTCAGTATCAGTATTAGTAATTAAAATACAGACCTGACTGCTATCTCGCTCACATCGAAAGAACCCACCGCGTATTAACACACCCACACATCCCTCCAAAGAACCACTAACACAGGCAAAGCCGGCTTAAACGACAGCCGGCGCGGTACAGCGTCCTCGACATGGGTCGTCGGCATTTGCCTCGTTAGTTCCGCGCGTCCCTTCGTCTCGTACGGACGCTCTTACCCTTAGAATCGGATAAATTTGAAAGTAACTCAAATCTATACAAGTAATAGAGAAAAAAAGTATTTATCTTTTTTACTGTCCACCCTTGGATTTAAATTCGCAAAAACGCGGAATGTGATACCATAATTTTCATTTTTATTGGAGTAATTAATATTATTAATATTAATATTGATAATAATCATAATAATAAAAGTTATTGAAATCGGTGGTTGGAAAAATGAATAATTTTCTGGGGAGTCTGGCTTTCCTCGGGCTAGGTAAGTGATCAAAGTACTCACTAATCAGCCGTTTAAGAAATAAGTAGAAAAACGCCGGTATTGATTGGGGGCAACAGTGAGGGTCTACCTTTATTTTATTTATTTATTTATTTTTTTTTTTAATATTTAACTAATATAATTATTGTATTTTGAACCTTAGACGGGGTGAATCATAGCCGTGATTACCCTCCGGCTCCAATACACTTTTTTATTATTATTATTATCATTTTTATCCTATCCCTGTAGATATATATTACATCTTCGACCACACGCACGTATATTTTCTCTTCTCTTTGTTTTTTATTTTTTGTATTTTTAACGTGTGTGTAAAACAGACGTACGTCCTATCCGTGGAGTCGCTATATCTCTACCTTCCAATTAACACCAAAGTAATGCACTTTTTCCCTCGCGTTATCGCACTCGTATTTTCTCCCTTTAGCTTCCCCTCGTTCACTTTCCACTCATGCATTCCTCTGATTCCCACGTTATATTTTTTACTCTCGTCTCAAATCCTATCATATACATCGGGATTTTTAGACTTTTTTACGCGGTAACTAGAAAAGACTGCATTATTAATTAGTTCTTATCCTACTGTATTAATTTTTTTTATTAATGTTATTTTAATTTATAAAGTAATAATAATCATTTTTAATTCATTATTATGATAATAAAATAGACAAAAAATATTGTTATTATTATTTTACTGATTAGAGTTTATTTTACTCTAGATAATTAAAAATTATGATTAATTATATTGATAAATTCTATGAATGATAGATAGTTATATTTAATTTATATAAGGGAGAGTTGTATTATATAAGCGATTTAAATTTATACGTATTGAATATTTGAGTTAATCATAGCTAAGTGATTTCTCCATTTATCGATTTAATCTATTTTGAGATTTTAGAGGAATTGAATAACTTATGGAAATCAAAAAAAATTTTTTAGTTTAAGAATTTTTCTACACAAAAAAAATTCTTGACAGGAGTGTAAATTTTTTTGGCACAAGAAAATATTAAGAAAGATTGAAAATTTCTTGAATGAAGTCAAAGTTTTTTGAGCCAAGAAAATTTTCTAGTCAAGAAAATTTCTTCTTGTTCCAAAATAACTTTTGTTTTCTTTAAAATTTTTTCCTCAAATCAAGAAGATGAAATTCCTCAAAATCATTTACTTGAATCAACTACATTTTTTTTTATGTACCATTTAAAACACTAAAAAGTAACAAGATCCGTAGTAAATTTCACTATTTAGTTTTTTCTGTATAGAATTAGCTGACGCGAATCTCTAATTTATTTTTAATTGATTTATTAATTCAATGTAAATTGCTTTTTAAGCTTCTTAAGAAAGCGTAAATGATACTTTATAAAATCTTTGATTATTTAATTATATAAAGACAAT